TTAGGGTTTCGGGTTTAGTTAGGGTTGAAAAGGGCTCAAAGTTTAGAATCTAGATCTAAAGTATTCTTACAAGGGTCCTACAAAGAATGCAGAAAGGCCCCAGAAAGGAGTCCTTTGCACCGGGGGCTAGGACCACTCCTGCTGTCTGGGGCTCGGCCAGCACTCTTAGTGCACACAAGACCGGTTCTACGATCGATAAGGGCTTGCCTGACCCCTAAACCGCTGCTTGTAAGGGCTCTATAATCCCATGGGGCTCCAACATGCGATCTGATAAGGATGGGTGCTATAAGGGTTGTAGCACGATTTCTGCTGTAGGGCTCCATATAAGGGCTTCTCTATCACGTCCACCTTTCAACAAGGAAGGGTTCATAGAAGGGCACTTTTTAGGATAATTTAATGGGTGCTGTAAAGGTTTCTCCATCATGTGCACCCTATCAACGAGGTCTCGGTGTGAGGGTGCTTATAAAGATCGAAGGGGGTTCTTAGGCGCAGGATAAAGAAGATTCTATAATCAGGTCTCGGTGTTAGGGTTTAGTAACCGGGTTCCGGGCTTAGGGTCTCGATCTAGATGTAGGGACTTCTTCCATGAGGTGTAAAGGGCTCTTCTGCGGATTCTGCTCAGGATCCTTCATCAAGGCCTCTAGGGCCTGGGATTACAGCTTGTGGGGTTTAGGTTTTCAAGGATTGGAATGCCAACTTCGAGGCTAAAAGAGGGGGTTTCATGCCTTTCGGGTGTGGAATTGGGGAACCCGGGACTTTTAAATCAAGGCGCGCTTGAGCGGGCGAGTTTGGGCTTGCGAAAACCAGGGCACAGACGGCCATACCTATAGTCTCCATTGTAGTTCCCTTTTCGGGGTTACATCTTGGGATCCTTAATTTAAGATTGGTATAGGTACAGCATCAAAGACGGCACTGGGGTATTCTGAAATTACCGATAGCAGGTAGCAGCACTGCTGCGCAAGAATACCACTCGTGAACTGCTTGACTATTTAATTCGTAACAAGTTAGTAGCCAAAAACATGCTTAAGGTGCTGGTCGCCCAAAAACAATGGTAGAAGTTTCAAAAAGGCAATCGAAAACCTAAGTTGTACTCGTAGTTGGTTTCGTAAACCTCCTAGTTCATAGTAACCAAACTTGCTCAACCAAGCCTAGACCCTATAAACCTTAAACCCCGAACC